TAGAGCTTCAAAGGTGCCAATAATCAAACTAGCTCACAAGAGCAGCCTATCTGGGCATATCAAAACAAAACAAGAAACTAGGACACAGTAAGCAAATGTAAAATACATACATACAATAATTTATTGATGGCTTGGAAACAACAGTCAACATCAAATCACATAAAGAGGCAATCCATGATGGCTTCAGCAAGCTCCCAAAATAAAGAATCTAGAAATTTTCAGAGGCAGAAAATTTCTTGGAATTACTGGCGACAGAATACAAAAGATTAATATACAGAACTCTTCAAGAAATTAGGAAGGAAATTATGCAAAACGCAGAACATGCAATAGAGAAAATTAAAAAGATTAGAGAAGAGCATAATGACAAATTTAACAGGCTGCAAGAATCTACAGAGAGAGACAGCAATCAGAAATCCAGAAGATTAACAATAAAATTTCAGAATTAGACAATAGAAAGTCACAGAAGCAGAATTGAGACAATGGAAGTCAGAATTAGTGAGACTGAAGATAAAACATAAAACACTTGACACTAACTTATTTGAGGAAAAATCAGATAAAAGGATTAAAAAAATGAAGAAACTCTAAGAATTATGTGGGACTCTGTTGAGGAATAACCTACGAGTGATTGGAGTATCAGAACAGGGGGGGATAACAGAAAATACAGAAAGACTTGTTGAAGATTTGTTGGCAGAAAACTTCCCTGATATCATGAAAGATGCCAAGATATCTATCCAAGATGCTCATCGAACCCCACATAAGGTAGATACCAAAAGAAAGTCACCAAGACATATTATAATCAAACTTGCCAAAATCAAAGATAAAGAGAGAATTTTAAGAGCAGCTAGGGATAAATGAAAAGTCATCTACGAAGGAGAATCAATAAGAATAAGCTTGGACTACTCAGCAAAAACAATGCAGGCAAGAAGGCAATAGGCTGACATGTATAAAGCCAAGGAAGAAAAAAACTGCCAACCAAGAATTATATATCCAGCAAAACTGTCTCTCAAATATGATGGTGAAATTAGGGCATTTCCAGGTAAACAGTTTAGGGAATTTGCAAAAACCAAACCATAATTATAAGAAATACTAAAGGGAGTCTTCCGGTTTAGAAAATTAGTAACATCAGATAACAAACCAAGACTAGAACACAGGACAGAGCAACCAGATATCAACCCAAATAGGAAGTCACAAAAATAAGTCAAAGCTAAAACACTGAAAATAGGGAAACAGATGTCAATATGTAAAAGATGACAATATTAAAACAAAAAAGAGGGACTTAAAAAATGTAGACATAGACTGTGCATATGAAGAAGTCAAGGAGATATAAAGAAATAAAAGACTGGTATAAACTTAGAAAAACAGGGGTAAATATTAAGGTAACCACAAAGGAAACTAACCACCCTACAAGTCAAAATAAAAAACCAGAAAAATACAAAGACTCAGCAAACACAAAATCAACAACAATGAAAAAGATGAAAAAAATACATAAAGAAAAATGACGTAGCACAGAAAATTAAGTGGAACCAAGAAACTGTGAACAATACACAAAAAAAGACATCAAAATGACAACACTAAATTCATACCTATCAATAATTACGCTGAATGTAAATGGACTAAATGCACCAATAAAGAGACAGAGTGGCAGATTGGATTAAAAAACACGATTCATCTATATGCTGCCTACAAGAGACACACCTTAGACTTAAAGCCACAAACAAGCTAAAACTCAAAGGATGGAAAAAAAATACATCAAGCAAACAACATTCAAAAAAGAGCAGGAGTGGCAATATTAATCTCT